GAAATCAGTCGGCTAATTGGCAAAGTTTAGCAAGACAAACGTAGGATGTCAGTAAGACAGTGGTGTCGATTGGGCAACACAGTTTTCCACACACTATGTCGCTTTCAAAAGCACCTTATACCTAAAAGTCGTTAAAAAGATGTCGGGTTCGTTTTCCGCTGCCACCAGTGTAGCATTCCGAGGCTTCCAATGGGGTAGTAGAAGGCATAAGTGCGGTTGAATACATGTATTCCGAATTCAATAGGAGAAATGGGGCTTGAGCGTGGCCCAAAGGCCAGCCCACGTGTACAGGGCCCAGACAAGTCCTAAAGTGACCGCCAAAAGTCAGATAGTCGCATAAACAAAGCATTACAATAGTAGGCACAAGATCTCACTGACTATGCGAATTATAGATAAAAGGTGTAATCGACTCTATAGCGTTCCAGGACCTCCTAGGCGGTATAAGAAATCAGTAAGTGCAACTGGATACATGTATTCTGAAGACGACATGGCAAATAGGCCTGAACATGGCCCGAAGGCCAGCCCACGTGTACAAGGGCCAGACAAATTCAACAGTGACCGCCAAACGACGGGTAGTCATATAAACAAGGCGTTCAGTCCTGCAATGCTTTTGTTTGACTACCTGAGGTTCGGCGATCATTTTAGAAGTTGTCTCGTCCTTATACGCATGTGCTGGCCCTCGGGCCAAGCTCAGACTTTACCCTTTGTTCTCCCTGCAGTACATGTATTCAGCTTCTCCTTATACCGTTCGTATTGTAATGCTTTTTTATGTGACTATCTGACGTTTGGCGGTCACTTTAGAACTTGTCTAGGCCCAGTACACGTGGACTGGCCTTCGGGCCACGCTCAGGCCCCCATTTCTCCTATTGTTTTCGGAATACATGTATTCAACCTCACTTATGCCTTCTACTACCCCATTTGGAGCCTCGGGACGTTACACGTACAGCTAATGGAATAAACAAGAATTACACTGCACAGGGCTTTTTGTGACCAGTGCCTCTACCGCCCTCTCGATGCATTACCTGCATCAACCATCAAAACGTTATCGAGGCTGCAAAAGCTGCTAAACATTGATCATCTCCCGAGACTGCGAAACTGCACATAACACGTTCAGTAGCTTAAATTGAAGCTTGCGCTAAGTTATGTCCAAAAAAAGTAGGAACAAGAGCTGAGTACGCCTATTGAATATTATTTCTGCCTGACGACAAATATAGGAATATTGGTGTTCAACAGATGTGTGACATGAAAACGGGATCGAATGCGAACTCGTATTTGAAAGATACATGCAATTTTACATCGCTGTCACCTATACGCCGAACATCTAATGATTAACGCTATTGACTATTCAATTTTATAGGTTTTTTTAATGGTACCGTGAGATGGGATGCATGCCAAAAGTCGACGCTATTAGCAGCTCTTCTGTGCGGAAGAATCATAGGCTCCCCTACCCGAAGTACATGCACTTCATTTATTCACAGTCGGGTTTGCTTGCCGCTGCCAGCAGTGTGGCGTCACAAAGCTCCCCAATAAGGTCATAAGACTAGGCTGAATACTCGTAGTCGAGTTCTTACGCACTTAGCAAAAGCAAAATGGACACCAAAATGGCAGCCGTTTATATCGGCAGTTAAATTAACAAAGCAATGTACCCAGTGCCACCAATAAAAGAGAAATTTGCGGAAATTTATTAATTGAAATTCGAGATCATCGGATGTATGCTTAATTAAAGTGAGGAATTGAGCTTGCCACATTGGAATACCGCGATTGCCTCAACTTCCTTGTAGTTTGCCTAGCGCATGGAGTATGTTTGTCCCTAGACATCTAGTAAGCAAGGACTTTATGGAATCACAAAATATTAACGGGAAATTGTGTATGAAACCTGTAGGCTTCAGACGGGACATTTCGTCTCTTTCGTCCATAAGGTGCATTTAAAAAACGCATTACGCTTAGCAGTTGTTGCTGAGGCGGTGCTTCGAAGCTCTGATAACATTCTCAGTATAACTTAAATTATTTGGTTAGTCTTTAATTAAAATGGGCGTTGGTTACTAGATAATACAGCTTTATAGTAAGTAAACCTCTGTGCCATGCCTGTTACCGAATTCTGAGGAGCTTAACTATTTTTTCAATTAAAATTATATCAGCATGTAGGGCAGATGCAACAATGTCCTTGCTCAAGAAGAATGCATTGAGCCAGTATTATCAACATTAATGCAGAAAAGCAGTACAAATATTATCAGCCACTTCAAAGTAAACGAAACCAATCCTGAACCACAGCAAGACCCTCGTGGTATTTTCATTAAAAACGCTTTTTTTGTGGATAAATGCGATAATCTATGTCTGGCTGCTGTATGGTTCCACTCACGTATGCGCCTATATTGTCTTGACCCTGTGGTTTAACCTTAAGGCCCTGACAGGATCTGTAAGGTAAATGCAATCTGCCTCAGCACGAAGTTACTATGGTGACTGCAAAAATCCCTTTGAAACGAATTTTGTCTTGGACCCCACCATTTTATGACAACTTTTGACAGTGTAAATTATGCGCACGTGCCGCAGATGAGGAAAGTGTGTCAAACTTTTCCATAACGGATCAGCTCAGAATGGCATCTGCCTTATCTCCGTTTGCCTACAATACCTACACATGGACGTCGATTCGAGAAAACCACATGAAATCACAGGAATACTCTGTTTACGTGACCACTTTGTGTCTGGTGGTTGTTTTAATATTCGTCTGGCTCTTGTACGCGTGGACTTGCCTTCGGACCAGGCTCAGACCTAATCCCTTTGCTCTCCCCGCACTACATGTATCCAGCTCCAATTAAGGTCTTCTATCCTGTCTAAGGGGCGGGACACTACAGTTCCATCCCTATGTGACTGAGTTAGTTCGAGCACTTACGTCTTCAAGACTATCGTTCCATTGTCTAGAAATAGGTTTACATCGGTGACCAGCAGGATTTCTAACCTGTAATTCCTGTTCCCTTATCGGATTAAACTCCAGACACAGTCAGATTTGTTGGGCGGTGTCTATGAAATCTGAGTGTGATTACAATTGCTAAAGCCCGTGGAAGTTGAAAATTTAGGGCAGCTAGTACGGCGTGCCGAGACTTCCTGGCCGGTATAAGAAGTCAATAAGTGCAGCTGGATACATGTATTCTGAAGAGGACAGGACGAATGGGCCTGGACATAACCCGAAGGCCAGCCGACATGTACAAGGGCCAGACAAATCCAAAAGTGACCGCCAAACGTCATGTGGCCACATAAACAAAGTATCATAGCTAGCACTTGGGCTTGACTATTTCTGAAAGGATAAATCAAGAAATTTACCAGAAAAGATATGGTGAAGATAGCGATATAATGAAGGGGAGGCAATGTATTAATTTGTTTGACTGTTGCAATCGATTTTAGTAAATCACGCAGCCATATACGTTGGTTAGATTAGACGGCGTCAGGACAAGGCGTACGTCAAAAACGTAACACCATTTTGTTTAACTAAATTCTCCAAATGTGGCGAGCCCGCTGTTAGCCAAGAGTGTCTTATCAGCATGTATACTTTAGCAGTTTAATTTGGTTTAGACTACCATGAACAAATAACGTAAGGTAAACGTATTGCCGACCAAATATGTAGCGGCTCGAGGATTCTAAGGGACCATTTTAAAAGACTCACTTTACCTTATGCTTGCGTTTGGAAAGGGAAGAGATGGGCATTAGTGAAGGCAAAGGGTCGGCCGAACGCTAAAATTCAAAGCGACCGTCACTCTTATAGGTAGTAAGATAAACAAGGACTTGTAAGGCACTGTCTTATTTAAGGTGCTGGCATGGTGTATACCCAAAGATTGGGGCAAACAGTACGAGGCTGCTTGTTGTAGCACAGTATGACGCCTTCTATAATTTTATATGGAATAGCAGAACATTAGCCTTAAAATGGGAAGGACACAGTCCTTCTTATGATGTACGCAGCTGGGAGGGAATAGATCTCGACCGATGCAACGGCTGCTTGAACTCAATGTAAACAATCTTATATCTCCAAAGCAATAATTACAATAGTCACGCAATTTTTCCGTAAATTCATTGCTAGTAAGAAGAAATTTAACTGCTTAAAAAAAGGGATAATTTTTTAAGTTAAACTTTGGGATTTATTTTCTTTAAGTAAATTGAGAATTGATCATTACGACTTGTGTCCTTAAAATTCATGATCAACTTTGCTCCGTTAAACACATTTTTTCAATTATAGAATTGCAATTAAATTTACACGAAAAAATTAAGCGTAAACGGTACTTTTGTTATATTTAAAAAAACATTAAATTAATTTCTATCCTAATAGAATTGCATTTAAGGTTAATTTTAAGGCAGTGGAATCGGCGCTTTTTCAAGTAGTGTGCTATATCTGCGTACGGTATGTCTGAGCTCCTCTCTACGGAATGGCTAAAGGATTTGCCACTTAAGGATCGTGATTCGTATGTTAATACTGCGAAATGTCTTGAGCAAGCTGAACGATTTGACGATATGGCGGTTTGCATGAAAGAAGTGACGAAGTTCGACAAGGAATTGAACAATGAAGAGCGAAACCTCCTCTCTGTTGCGTTTAAGAATGTCGTTGGGTCTAGACGCAACTCTTATCGGGTGCTGTCGAGTCGTTTGTCTCGAACTCAGGATCCTGAAAAACAGAGTCTTACGAAGGAATATCTCGATATTCTCCAAAAAGAACTCAACGCTATTTGTTCTGATGTGTTGGTAGGCCTTGTTATCCTTCATGGTAGTGTGTTTAGCAACTGATAGAGGAGAGGCTTTACCCATCATGTTCTAATGCTGAAGGGAAGGTTTTCTACAAGAAAATGATGGGTGATTACTACCGATACAAAGCGGAGAATGCCAAGGGTGAAGACCACAAACAAGTCGTAGAGGCATCTCTCAAAGCCTATGAGGAGGCTACTGAAATTGCGAACGAGAAGCTTAGCTGTACGCATCCAATTCGCCTCGGTCTTGCACTGAACTATTCCGTCTTTTACTACGAAATCATGAACAGTCCCGATCGAGCGTGTCAGCTCGCCAAGAAGGCTTTCGATGATGCTGTTAGCGACGTCGACAGTGCTAATGATGACTCCTATAAAGATAGCACTCTTATCATGCAACTTCTTCGTGACAACCTTGCTGTAAGTGTTCGGGTCTGCTATTCACTTTTTCTTTAGTTATGGACTTCGGATCCTGAAGAAACTGAGAACACCGAGGGTGCTGAGTAACTTATGGAACACACTACCGAATTCCCTCAATTATGACAATCATAAATACCATTGTTCCAGTGTATCGTTTTCTTGTATTCATCCAGTGGGTTTTCAATGACAGTGATTTGTGCTCATCTGTGAACACTGTGAGTAGCTGAGGTTGTGGTCAGGTGTGGTAGGTGCCCATCGAATTTGCTCGCCGTTTTAGTCTGTTGATTCTGGCACTCAACGGGTGAGCCATGCTCAAAGGTGATCTGGCTTCGGGTGTGGGTAATCGCAAATTTTCGCTGCAGTGTCTGTCTGGTGGCGTTTAAGCTCTCCCATGAGTACTGGCTGTGGCTGTTTTTGGTCGGGTGGCGGTTGCGTGATGGTTCAGAGAGCATAGCGCTGTTTCGGATGTCGATTTGCTGAACAGCCTTGGGGTTGATCCACGGTTAACGTCGGGGCTTGGATCCATCCGGCGCTGTCCCCTCTGTCGGGTGGGTTTGTCCGTCATTCATCAGGTCAAGGCTTGTTTGGTGATTTGCAACTTGTCCGAGGTCGGGTGGTGAGTTCCGTTTGGTTTGCCATCTCCCCTTTTGTCTAAGATTAGGTGGGATGGACGATGACTTGAGAAAGGCGGGGCTGAGTAATTATGAAATCGTCGGCTATGCTAGCCCATCAGCTCACTCTTTGGAAAAAATGGTGCGCAGCCGTGCCACTGCTGCGTCACCACATAATTTAAACATTTATGTGACTTCATGGATCAAAGTACTAAATGGTTCTGGACTGACCCGTGAGTGATAAGATAAGGGGAGTAACGTAGCAGGAAAGTCGGTGAGACCCTTGTGAGTTGAACTACGTGGGCACTGTTATTTTGCGTACGCATACCCAACTTGCCCTCCTGAACCTTCACTGGGGTACAATAAGCCTTCAGTGGGAATGTACCATTTTTGAATCCAAGGCCATCGAAGGTATCATACCCTGTTAAAATAAGTTACTTTGGAGTGGTAATCCTACTAATCGTTTGATGAGCCGAGACACAAGTGTGCTTCCTAATTATCCCCAAGACACAGCCACCATCTGCTGAAAGCTAGTTTCCATTTACGATCCAGAACACACCAGAGTGCTAGCCATCATATTGCTCTGCTAACCCGAGGAACATGATTGTTAGGTAGTAAGAGCCATTCCTCCATATATTTAGGTAGGAATCCCTGTGGGTGCAAAGCAAACACCGTTATAGAGAAAGAAGGTGAACAAATTCGCTAATTTATCTAGTTTGAGCACCATCCCCGATGAAAAACTTGTACGTCCGAATCTATGACACAACTAAGGGTATGAAGCTATAATGGTATTCCTAGGTCCAAAAGTAAGGTACTACATTTATCACACGGGAGATGACGAAGGGAGATATTGTGGAAGTGCATGCACAATGATTGATACGCAAAGAAAACAAATTATATAAAATTAAAAAAACATTTGTAAGCAAAGTTGCGCTATTCATGGGCAGATTTGTCACTAAATTTAGCTGTATGATTGCTGAGCAAGCTTTTCAGCCGGTGGAGGCCATTACCACGCCTATTGGAGGCAGGTGTACATCATGCTAGGGACGTTTTCATTTTTTTGCTTTGACAGCCAGTATGTTCTAAAGCTTTTGATCATGGCCCCTAGGAAGTCACGAATGGCAAAAATCTCGATTTTCGAGGATGAGGGTGGTGCTAATTTCTTTGCATTTTAACGATGTCTAATTACGGTAGTATAATAGACTCCCAAAAATTGAAGACAACTAGACGAAAAGTCATCCTAGACAACTTTTTGCCTAGTAAGTTCTGCTTTTATGCTTTATTCCTTAAGTTGCAAGCAAAATGATTTGTTTTAAATGGCTACTAAAGTGGTGCGGACTTTGCCGCCCGTGCTCACATGCGTGTAGTGCGATTGTTAGTTCGTACTGCTTGCCATCGAACCGTGCGTTCTGTATGTGGTACGCGATATACGGGGAGCTGCTCAGTGAAAATGACAATACGCGAAGGTTCTGCCTTTATTAATTTACCGGAGGGTGTTTTTTACAATCCTGTTCAAGAGTTTAATCGGGATCTCACAATAGCCGTTGTAAAGCACTATGCGAAAAAACATTTTGAGGAATTTATAAATAAAGGAATCAAGAAGGCAGGTGAGAAGGGGGCTCCAGAACCCGTTACATATTCCGGATTGTCTGTGCTCGAGGCTCTCTCTGCATCTGGCCTGCGTTCCATTAGATTTGCTAAAGAAGTTCCACTTCTAAACAAGGTAGTTGCGAATGATCTTGATCCAAATGCGGTGAGACTGATTGAGGAGAACGTTAGGCTCAATGCTGTTGGAGATTCTGTTGTGCCGTCCTGTGCTGATGCGGTTGGTTTAATGCACGACTCTGTTAAGAATAAGTAAGTTTATTTGATCTTCAGTTTTTTACTCGTGGTTTTTCCTGATTTAGAGCAGGTATTTTCTCAAACTTTCCTAGCTGAATTTATTTTCAATTTTTCTAACGTTATTTTTGCCCGGCTCAGTGTTTATGATTTCTAAGCCTGTCAATTTCCCTGAGAGAACTGTTCGCTTGTTCATTGTGTATGATCTGTGCGCACATTATTGAGTCGATTGAAGTAATATTGGATGCATCGAGGTATACTTTGTTCCACTGTAATGCTTATTTGGTCGTTCTGTAAGTTGCCACACAATTTCCTGTCCGTAAACTTGTAAGTTGCTTAGGCAATTGGTGTAGACTATTCTTACTGCTATAGTGCAATTGCAATGCTGCTTCAGCTTGTCTAAGATCAGGACTTCTAGGATGTCTTACTTCCCCACGTTCCGATTTCGCCTAGGTTTCACGTTGTTGACATTGATCCGTATGGCACGGCTGTCCCTTTCCTAGATGCAGCTGTTCAGTGTCTTTTTGATGGTGGCCTTCTTTGCGTGACTTGTACTGATATGGCTGTCCTTTGTGGCAGCGCTGCTGGCACAGCCTACGGCAAATATGGGGGAGTAGCCATCAAGATGGCAGCTCAACACGAACAGGTATACTACTAACAACTTTTAAGTAAATAATAATTTTATGTCAGTATCGAATGCAAATTAAACAACGTACAGCCGTCACGCCTGTTTTATGCAGACCAGGAAGAAATTTTCATTATCTTATGTTTTAGGGTCTGCGGTTATTGCTGCATGCGATGCAGCAGGCAGCAAGTCGATATGACAGGGTAATCGAACCTCTTCTCTCGCTCTCCATAGACTTTTATGCTCGCGTCTTTGTGCGCGTCCGGACCAGCCCATCAAGAGTCAAGCGGATTGCCTCCCGACTGGCCATCATTTATTCCTGCACAGGTTGTCAGGTGGGGCTATTTCTTTCTATCCTCTTTTTCATGTCTGATGACCATAGGTTTTGGCTGCGGCCATTGCAATCCGATGGGTCAATTTGTCCCATAACTTTGCATGTGGTCGTAATCGAAGTTGCAATGCTCTCGAGTGGGATGAAGTATGAGGGATCGGTGATAAACCTCGTCGTTCTCAATGTACTCATTTAGTTAACTAGTAGATTTCCATCGGGCTAAACGATTTATTAATGCAAGAACCAATGGTCCATCCCCCGAGTTCTTATTAGCGTTTTGTATCCTACATTTTAACAGGGAAATATATCAGATGCGGCATTGATATGCGAGGAATTTTGTAGACTAGCTTTCTTCGCTGGGAACTGTTACCCAAAAATGAAATTGAATTAACCAAGCAGTAGGCGTTTTTAGTTCCACTTGCCTTATCATGATTGCTAAATTGAATTTAACGATATCATCGCTCACTGATCGAAAATTTTCCCCACTCAGTTCGGGTCTCATCTTGTAATTCATTTTTATCCTTATCGGGCTTGGAATGGTTACCGTGGGTTGGAGCCATTTTTGCTTTACACCTAGTTTGCGTGTCGCATGTACTAAGTTTTCTTTCTCCTTGATGAATCTGTTGAGTCTTGCTAAGAATTTTGATACTTTGATTTGAATCTGAAAATGGTAGCTAAAGAAACTTTTTAAGTGTGCTGGTCGTGTTGCATAGGGTTATCTTCCCACGTCTGGGTAAATGATGAAACTGCAGCAAGTTTATGTAAATCTAAAGTAAAACTGCATGCTCCTTGCAAAGCATACATAAACACTAGTTTTCCACCAGTCTACCCGCAAATAATGGTCGTGTGCAACGACTAGTCCACTAACTTCCTCTGTGCTTAGTCAAAAGAGCATTGGAAAGGAAGGTCTGACCTGCACGGTATCTTTTTCATTTGTATAAAATTCTTACTTTTGAGGCAGTTTTAGCCCCATTTAAATTGACACTTGCTACAGACACCATGATTTCGTTACCCTTATTCTTTGTAATTTTTCAGTGTGACGGTATGAATTGGAGGGTAAATGCCCTGTTTAATTATTGAATAGTAATTGATTTATAACAAAGGTGGTGTCTGAGAAAGAAAGTAGGTTTCCATGAATTTATCGTTCATATTCCTTTTTTCTGGGAGGATTAGCATCAAATTTGGGCCTTAAACCGTTGCTGCATGGTTCTCTTTGCTGCTTCATATCGCACCTTCAAATTCTGTCGTTTTGTGATTGACCTATTGTATAGTGCATTTAGATTATAAAAGTGCGGGGAAATTAAAGACATATATTTATTAATACGATTCAATATTTTCGAAACTACTGTAATAGATCCAAGTCTACGCCAGTGAGTCACACCAGTGATTCGGCATTCTGCATAAAACAAATACAACAAAAGATTCTATGTCATCTTCCAGGCGATCGCCTGCCTTTTTCGAACAATTTACTGCCCTAAGAGTTGCCATGAGTTTACATTTTTGCACCGACGCATGGAAGGAATGATGAGGGACAGAGTGGTTGGGTCCTGAGGTAGCTTTGGCCGGTACGTTTATTTTGCTCAAAGTATGCTGGACGCAACTCCTTTCACGTTCATTTTGCCGGCATGACTTATGCGGTTTCGTGATTTTCCATGAACAAAAATTTTTAGGGCAATCAAATGAGTTGCGTTGAACGTAGCAAAGTTTAGGACATTGTTATTCTAAAGATAAATGCTGTATCATTGACAGAACGTGCGTTCATCAATTTCGCAGTGCATATGCCGACGTTGTAAAAGATTGGTGGCCAAGCATTAAGAATGAGATACAATCAGGGTTGTTGTCAACAGCGGCTGCGCATCAAGTCCGTGGCACTACATTAAAGTATCAATTAATACGTTGATGTGCTAACAGCATCGTGAAATAGTTGGCTTTATATAAATTAAGGTTTTCAATTTTCTCGAAGTTTTGTTCGATTTTGCGTCATGCGTTTAAAATCAGAGTACGGTACCTACATTCATGTCCCTAAAGCATTAAAAATCTACTTCTTACCAAGTTAAACTTTCCTGAACTTAAGTGATCCAGACACCAACACGCGAATTGCATTGCTTACCTTTCTTAACTGCCACTGACCACAAATGTCGTATCCGCTAAAACTTGTAAATCAATCAAAGGAAACAGCACAATATTGCAAACTACTTTCACCATTGCCTTACCCGTCGAAGACCTTCAAATCTTACCTGATGCCATTTACGCAAAAGAGGAACCACTCATCTTCAAGTATCCAAACATGCGCTCCTCCATGTCTT